CGAGGGAGCCCCTTGCCTCATCCACCCCCCACACTGCTGACTTTGATACTGAGGCAGCAGCAGCAGGGGGAAGTGGGGCAGATGGCAGCCAGTATCAGCAGGGAGCCAGTTTTAAGGGAAATTTTCAGTGGTTACACATTTTCCTGAATACACGCATTTTGAACTTCTCTATTGAGAACCTCATCCTGCATCATCTAGAGCAATGGTCTCCAACCTTTACACACCAAAGATCACTTTTTAAATCTCAGAACAGGAGAAGATCTACGGCCCCGCCCCTTCCTTGAAGCCCCGCCCCTTCCTTGAAGCCCTGCCCTCTCTATTCTCCTCCTGTCCATCACTTGCTATTCCCAACCCTTACTTACACACTCTGATAAACAGTTTATTTTTAAATTATACGATACATACAATTAAAATCACGTGTTTATAGTTAGGAAATAAATGGTCTGTTTTTTATTCATGCTATTTAAATCTAAAATGAAGCATTTATAATTATACATTTTGTGGGGACAGAGTACTGCTGCTGAGGGCAGGGGAGAGGGAACAAAGTGCTGGGAGGGCAGAGGACAGGGTTCTGCAGCAGGGGACAGGGTGCCAGTGGGGACAGGAATGGGGACAGAGTTCGGAGAGTGGGGACGGGAATAGGGACAGAGTTCTGTAGCTGGGGACAGGAGAGTGGGGACAGAGTTCGGGGAGAGGGGACAGGAATGGGGACCGAGTTCTGTGGCTGGGGCCAGGGGAGTGGGGACAGCATTCTGTAGTTGAGGACAGGGGAGTGGGGGACTCGGGAGTGGGGGCTGGGGAGTGGGGTGCCAGTGGAAGCAGAGAGTCCCCTGCATCTCCTCTTCCTCCCAGCATTCTTCCCCCCCCCCACCAGGGAAACCAGCGTGTGCCTGCCCCAGGGCCGACCCCCCCACCCGCACAGGAAAGCCCCGGGACCAGCACCCCCCCCACCCAGGGAAGCCCCGCGCGAATGCCTGCCCCGGGGCCAACCCCCCGTGCGTGCCGGGAAACCCCCTTCACGCCTCCCTCGGGGCTGACTCACCCCTCCTGTGCGGTGCAGGGGACCAGCAGAGCAGCTAGCGCACTTCTGGAATTGCCGGAAGTGGTGCTAAGCTGCGGGACTTCTGAAGCCAACACTACCTCCATTTTCTCTTGAGGTAAGTAGTGGGGCTTCTGAGGGGTGGGAGGGAAATGGGGGCGGGGTGGACAGGACGCCTCGCAAGCGACTGGTCGAGGCCTCGAGATCGACCAGTAGCTCACGATTGACCTGTTAGTGACCACAGATCTAGAGCAGTAGTGGGCAAAAGGGCCACTGCAGACTGGATCCAGCCCACCAAGCTGGTGAATCCAGCCCACAGAGGCCCTGCTGCTCCACCGCCCCAGGCCAATTAGGGCCGGGGAGCACCAGAAGACTTCTCTGCTCTGCCCCCACCCTGCAAGCAGCGCACAGTGCTTCAAAGTGCCACACGCTGCTCGCAGGGCAGGGACAGAGCAGAGAAGGCTTTGCGCACTCCCGCACGCCAAGGCCCTAATTGGCCTGGGGGCATGCGAAGCCTTCTCCTCCCGCCCTGCCAGGAGCACATAGCGCTTTGAAGTGCAGTGCGCTGCTCACAGGCTGGGGGGTGGAGAGGGAGAGCGGAGGAGGCTTCGCATGCTTCCCTGCCCCAGGCCAATCAGGGCCTGGGGGTGGGGAGTATGTGAAGTCTCTCGTGTCCTTTCCCCACCCTGCCAGGGGTGTGCAGTGGCTAGAGAGACACTGAGGAGGCTTCGCATGCTTCCCTGCCCCAGGCCAATCAGGGCCTGGGGGGCGGGAGAGTTGTGTGAAGCTTCCTTCGCCCTGCCCTGGCCCTGTGAGGAGCTCACAGCACTTCAAAGTGCCACATGCTCCTAGCAGGGTGGGAGGAGGCTTCCCGTGCTCTTCCTCCCCCAGGCCCTGATTGGCCTGGGGGTGGGGGGAACATTTCAAGCTTCTTCAAGGCATGGGCGCCTAGTTGGAAGATGGGGGAAAAAGGGACTCCCCCACCCCCAGACCAATGATGGTATGGGGGTGAGGAAGCACTGCCCCTTCCTGTTTAGGCCCCACCCCTTCTGGGGAGGCCCGGGGCTACTTTAAATATTTTTGAAGTAGCCCCGGGGCAAAAATTATTGCCCACCCCTGATCGAGTGTTTGTGACAGTCATGACAGGTCTTTTCTGGCATCACTAGTTTGTCAGCTTGATTTGTAATATTTTCATGACTCCATCTCACAGTTAGAGAGGACAACACACGATCTTGAGCTCTAGAATTCCACAGCTCTTGATTTGAAACAGTCTAATAGTCTCTAAAGAGGATGTTAATAAGCAAGTAATTGGCTAATGCTATCATCAATACAATTTGTATTGAATACATGATTCGTCTATAAGAGTTGGCGCTCTGTCCCAGCTCACACCAGGTCCAGGAGCTACGCCCACCATGGCTCTGCAGTTTAAATGTAGGAGAAGCCAGGCATGCAGGCAGCCCGGCTCTTACTAGATTTAAAATGCAGAGCTACAGGGAGGGTAGATCTGGGATCAGACCTGGCTTACGCCAGGTCCCAGACTGCTGCACTTCTGCCTCCCCTTCCCCACCCTGCAGAGATGGTGCTGGTGGGAACTGGCTTTTAAGCAGGCTCCTCTCAAGAACCAATTCCTGTTTCCTCACCCCCACTCCGATGCAGAGTAGGGATAGAAGCGACTAGTCAACTAGTGATGCGACTAGTTGCTCCCTCCCCCCCACCCCACAGCTGCCTTAGAGAGAGGCAGCAAGGGGGCAGAGCAGGAGCTGGGGGTAGCCCACTTAAAAATCAGTCCTCCCTCCCCTCCCCCAGCACCATCTCTGCGGGGGGCAGGGGAGGTAGAGGCACAGAGGAAATGGCTCCACTCACACCACTTCTGCTGCGATTCTGCTTTTGAAATGTAAAAGAGCCCCACTGGGGCTCCCCCTCAGTTCAAAAGCTGAAGCCCCGCAGCAAGTGCGGGACCAGCGGGAACTCCCCTGCTGGCCCTGCGCTCCCTGTGGGGCTTCCGCTTTTGAACTATGGCAAAAGCCGAGCCAGACTCTTGCTACAGTTCAAAGACAGAGGCGCGCTTATAGACTAGTCGAATAGTCAATGGAAATCCCATAGACTATTCAATTAGTTAATTAAGCTACATTTAACATCCCTAATACAGAGTAAGGATGTTAAACAAGTAATTTACTAGTCAAGTAGTTGATGTAATTTCCATTGACTACTCGATGTACATTTCAAAGGAGAAATGCGAAACTCCAAGTGCAGCCCAAGGTCAGTGGGACTTCCTGCTGCCCCCAGACTGCATGCAGCATGCCAGCTTTGAAATGTACAGGAGTCCCCAGCAAGGGCTCTTGTGCATTCCAAAGTGGAAGCGCCGGCATGGAGCCTGGGGTCAGCGGGAAGTCCCACTGACACCGGGCTCCATGCTGTGCAGCTTTGAAATGCCATGCAAAGCCCAGAGTCCCAGCTGACCCCAGGGTCTGTAGGGCATTTTCCCAGAC